CGGCCTAGGAGTCAGCCCCGCGACGCTCGACAGCTGCTTCCACTCCGTTTTCGCCGCCTGCGCATCCCCGGGCGACAAGTCGCTCTGGACTTCATTCTTGCCCAGAAGCATCGAGAAGATCCGCTTCAACCTTGCGCTCTGCGACGGAAAGCCTACCGACGGGGCCTCTCTGGTTGTTGACTCCATCATTACCCAGGAGATCCCGCGCACCAAGACCGCGACGACCAAGTTCGTCGGCGACATGAGCATCTTCAACACCCGCGGCGAGATGGAGATCCAGGTCGAAGGCCTCATGGTTGCTTCCTTCGCCAACTCGAAGCCCGAGGATGACAAGGAGCTGTACCTGCACACTGTGATGGACCTCGACCCCGAACACGAGATCGTGACTGCCGACATCAGCAAGGAGGACGTCGCAACTGAGCGCATCCTGCTTGAGAGCTGTGAGAGAGTTGCGCGATTCTACATTCAGGATGAGTCGGCGATCAAGGAGATGGGCGCGCCGCCTACTTTCTTCACGCCGCCGACTTCGCCTCTTGCGCCCAAGGCCGCCGGGTCTGAGGCCCAGCCCAGCCCTTGGAAGTACGATACTCAGGAGTCATTGGAGGCTTTCATCCTCCAGTCGCCTTTCTACCATGCTCTGGAGTTCATCCGCATGCTGGGAGAGAACATCCCCGATGTCCTGCCGGCCATGATTTCCACCATCATCCAGGAGGCCAAGCAGCTGCACCGCTTCCGCTCCCACGTCAGCCGGGTCGTCTCTCAGATTGCTCATCGCTACCCTCGCATGCGAGTGCTCGGTCTTACAGACCCCGAGGCTGGCCTCTCTGAGCACATCATTGGTGGTCTCAAGGGCTCCTTTGTGTCTTACACCATCGGCACTGAGACCGAGAAGAACTTGCTCGCCAGACTCTCCGGTCCCGAGGCAATCAAGAAGAAGATTGACACCGAGCACCTCAAGCTCCTTGAGTCTGAGGACAACTCGGCCCTTCAGCCTTTCGACCTGGTTGTCCTGAATACCTCGGTGGTAAAGGGCATCGAGCAGCGTGACAGGCTCAAGCAGGTTCAGAGCTTGATGAAGCCAGGTGCTTTCCTCATCCTAATCCACGAGTCCATGAGCCCCCTCCGCGACAGACTTCGCCGCGCCTTCGGCGTCAGGGCCCAGGTCAACGCACCCCTCACTCCTCCCGAGTGGCCCGATCTCTTAGATGAGTGCGGCTTTGTCCGCGCCGCGAAGAAGGCTGAGCAATTCTTCGCCCCTGACTTCTCCCTCATCGTCCGCCAGGCCGAGTCTGAGATCAAGCAGATTGCTCTGAACCCGTTCAACGGCTCTCTGCCCAAGGTGGCGGGACACACTCTCATCATTGGCGCCGGGTCCAACTCGGCCGATCTGGCTGCGGAGGTCCACCAGAAGCTGATCCCGGCTTGCAGCATGGTCGACATTGTCGCCGACTTCGACTCGCTCCAGCCAGCCTACTTCAACGAGGTCAGCAACGTCATCTTCCTCGCTGACCTGGACGAGCCGATGATGAGCACCATGACATCCGAGCGTCTTGATCTCCTCCGCGCCCTCATGGCGCCTGAGAAGGTTGTGCTCTGGGTCACCATGAACTCTCGCGCAGGTAACCCTGAGCATGCTGCCACCTATGGTTTCTCGCGCTCTATGCTGGCCGAGATTCCCAGCTTGAAGCTGCAAATGCTCGATCTCGACTCTCGACGCGACTCAGTCGATGCCGTTGCTGAGACATTCTTGCGACTGAGCATGAAGGAACTGCGCGCTGGCGGCAAGGACGGTGAGTTGCTTTGGACGCACGAGAACGAGATCTTCATGGAGCAGGGCCACAGACTTGTGCCTAGAGTTATCCCCTGGAAGGAGGGCAATGACCGAGTCAACTGCCCTCGCAGACTTGTCTCTTCCGAGGTCAACACCCTGGAGAGTTGTGTCGAGGTTGTCTCTTCCCAATCTGGTGACGGCTCCGCGGTCTACACTGCCAACATTGTCGAGGGCGAGATCCTTGACGCTATCGTCCCGGACCAGAGTGTCATCATGGTCAACTACAGCTCTGTCGAAGTGATCAACTTTGGCCTCAAGTACGCCTCTCACGTCTGCATTGGTAAGGACGTCTCTACCGGTGAGCAGTCGCTGGCGATGACCAAGGCCAACTCTTCCTATGTCACGGTGCCCAACTCCTGCGTCTTCCCTCTTGGAGATCGCAACATCGAGCCCAAGACCCTCCTCAGCCTTGTCCTTCGCTATCTGGTCACCTTTTCTCTTGAAGAGGAAATGATGGGACAGACTCTCCTTCTTCTCGAGCCCGACACCGTTCTCTTGGAGTGCATGAAGGAAGTCTTTGAGCCAAAGGGTGTCAATGTCATCTCTTGCACCACTACCCCGATCAAGGTCAGAACTCCTGGCGAGCGCTACATCCACCCTTACGCCAGCAACCGCGAGCTGAAGGCTCTCTTCCCTGCGGGCGGTGCATCCATCATCGACTTCCTCCCCGAGGGCAGCGAGCTCTCCGAGGCCATCCTCGACTGCCTCCCCGAGAACTGCGAATACCACTCCCGCTTCTCCCTCCTGACTTCGGAGCACGTCGTCGCCCTCGGAGACTCCATGGACATTGAGCCCATCTGGGAGACCGCCATCGAGAAGGCGTTGGAGAGTATGACCGGCATGAAGGGCCAAATGGGCATCCCCAATATCGACTCCGTCTCTGTCCCCGCCCTCTTGGACCAGTCCAGCAGCGGCAAGCCCTTCCAGGTCCTTGACTGGCGCGCCGACCGCACCGTTCAGCACATCGCCAAGCCGCTCCTGGGAACACAGCTCCTCCGCCCCTACAAGACCTACGTCCTCGTCGGCCTCACCCGCGACATGGGCCAGAGTCTCTGCAACCTCTTCTACGAGCACGGCGCGCGCCACTTGGTCCTCGCCAGCCGCAACCCAAATATGAACCCGCAGTGGATCGACGATCTCGCCGCCAAGGGCTGCGAGGTGCGCATCGAGAGGCTCGACGTCACCAGCATCGAGAGCGTGAGGGCCTTCAAGGAGAGGCTTTCTGCCGAGATGCCTCCCGTCGCTGGTGTCATCAACGGTGCCATGGTCCTCGACGACCGCGTCTTTGCGCAGATGGACGAGAACACCTGGCAGAGGGTCATGCGCCCCAAGACGGTGGGCTCCAGCAACCTCGACGAGATCTTCTCTGACTCTGATATGGAGTTCTTCATCATGACTTCCTCCTTTGCTGCCCCCGGTGGCCATGGAGGACAATCAAACTACGCCGCTGCCAATATGGTGAGTACCCCTTTCCCCTCCCTGTTTCCTTCAACGCCGCTAACAATCCGCAGTACATGAACGGCCTCGCCGCCAACCGCCGCCTCCGCGGTCTCCCCGGCTCCGTCCTCAACATCGGCGTCATCTACGGCCTCGGCCTGCTCCACCGTGAACGCAATGACATCTACGCCTTCCTCGAGAAGGACGGGTACCCGCCCATCTCGGAGCGCGATATCCACCACATGTTCCTCGAGGCCATCGTCACGGGTCGCCCCGTCGATGGCCAGATCTACGACATCACGACCGGCCTCAGCCGCTACAGCACGGCCAACCCGGACCCGCTCCACTGGCACCGCGACCCGCGCTTCTCGCACTTTACGGTTGAGGACGACGCATCGGCCGCGGAGGAGGGCGAGGGCAAGCAGAGTCTCAAGGAGACGCTGCGCGGCGTGGTGGACGGCGGGGTGGATGCCGTCGCGGAGGTGCTGACGGAGGGGTTTGCGCGGTACCTCGAGACTGTGCTGGGCCAGAGCGAGGGGAGTGTGAAGGGCGAGCATAGCGTGGGCGAGCTCGGCATGGACTCGCTTGTTGCTGTGGAGGTGAGGGGGTGGTTTTACAAGGTTGTCGAGAGGGATGTGTCTGTGATGAAGATTTTGGGGAGTGCGAGTGTGGCGAAGTTGTGCCATGAGGTGTCTGAGGGGTTTGTGAGTGAGAGGACGAAGGCTTGAGCGATGTCTTTTACTATGTAAGATGTGGGAAACATGTGGGTTTTGGATAGGATATTTGGAATTTTGGAAAAGCTTGGGAAGGCGGGTTTGAATTTGGTGTTTTGGCTTTTGGTTTGGCTGTCTTACAGATTGGTCCGGGAAAAATGGCGGTTGTCTTTTCTCAAGTTCTTGTTCGGTATGGGTTTGGTCTTTTGCTTTCTGGGTTGATACCACGGTCATTACATAACCTCTTTTGTTTAGACATATTCAAGAAACAATTTTCACAACTAAGATCCATGAATGATGTATGCCATGATGTGACGTTTTGGATCGTTGCGCCAGAGATGATAATGGCTTGGGTGTCTAATCCTTGAGACATGTCCAGCAATTAGCACCTAAAGAGCGTTTAAATATTGAAGAGAACTTCCAATAACTGTTCCCCTGGATGATTAATAAAATGTGAAGGACTTGTCCGTCACGTTCGCTTGTTGTCGGAGGCCGGTGAGTCCACACTCCGACCCGACCAGCCCCCCCATGACCCGTTCAATCGGCACGTGTACGACTTTTGGCCCGGCACGGGATGAGCCAGGGGCCGATACACACGCGGCGCAGCCATCTCAGTCGGCCCCAGGACCGATTCGGTAAGCCCGTACGGCGGCGCGGACGTCAACTACCCCCGACCATCATCTTATTGTGGGGCTATCTTCCAGGCCTGCATTCTTTGTCCCTTCTGAAAGCGTCATGACTGGTCGACGGTGCCGCTGTAATGAGCGATCTGGGCCGGGGTGCTGGGGGCTGGAATGCTGCAGACCCGACGACAAGGAAATCTCGAAGATTGTTTCCGCAGCCACTAATGTCACTGACGGTAAATCCGAAATCACGACCATAAAGTGCTTGTAGTGCTCACTTATGAGCCAGCCTCTGATATTTCAAAGTCTGCCAGGTTCAGCCTTTAACATCTCTTGCGTTCTCTCGCAGCATCTGCTTCAGAAAACCCAACAACGAAGCATACTGAATAAGTCACGATGAGCAGTGCACAACAGGTAAGTGAAATCAAACAATATTCGGTTGTTCCCAACCTACACAATGATCCTAACACTCTCTGTCTATGAAGACGGCCTCTGGCCCGCCGTACGTACCCACGGTAGCTCTTCTGGGTCTGACCCCAACCTCAACCGTCGACATCCCAATCTCCGCCGTCCTGATCGCATTCTTCCTATGCTCAGCAGTAGCAAACTTCACGATATTCAGGCGCAACCAAGCCCGCGCGCACAAATTCATCCCGTCCATGGTTCTTTTCGGCTTCTCCATGGCGCGCACGGCAGCACTGGTCCTGCGAATCGTCTGGGCGGAGCGGTTGACGAACGCGAGCCTGGGCATCGCTGCAATGATCCTCGCCAGCGCCGGCACCGTGATCCTCTTCGTCATCAACCTCATTCTCGCCCAGCGCGTCCTGCGCTCTCTTCATCCGCGATTTGGCTGGCACCGGGTTCCGAGCTTCGCCTTCATGTTTCTGTACTTTTGCGTCGTGGCCTGTCTGATCATGACCATCGTCCCGACGGTTCTTACGTTCTACACCCTCGACACCTCAGTTCGCCAAAAGGCACGACAAATTCAGCTTTTCTCTGGCACCTATCTCGCCCTACTGGCGTTTCTCCCGATCCCTATCGTTGGTCTCGCAGCTGCGTTCCCAAAGTCTACGAAGCCGGAGCCTTTCGGCAGCGGCTCTCTCCGGACGAAAATGGTTTTGGTGCTGGGGACCGCCGCGCTTTTGACCCTGGGCGCTGGTTTTCGCATCGGCGTCAACTTCACAACGCCACGACTTGCATCGAACCCGGCGTGGTATCATCAGAAGGCATGCTACTACGTCTTCAACTACGTTCTCGAGATTATTGTCGTGTACACGTATACGTTGTCTCGTTTCGATAGACGATTTTATGTACCAAATGGAGCTAAAGGACCAGGAGACTACGCTGCCGGCTTTGCCATGCAACACGCCGAGAGTCAAGGCACCAATGAGTTCACCGATTCTAATCTCAAACATGTCTAATCATAATTTGTAACACTGGGGTTCAAAGAATCTGGACGTATTAGAAGGAGGAGAAAGGGAATAAAGTTCATAAGACAACCTACATATCTTAAACTACATTGTTATCTCCTTTAGCCACCCCACTTCATAATAATAGGCTATTGTTATTCCGATGCAGCTTTCTGCTATTACTCGAAATAAAAAGACTAACCTTTAAAACATTCGCAGAGACGTTCTCAGACGGCTCCAGATCGTGACGTTTTCGTCAAAGGCGCCGTTGAGCTCAACCATATCCTTTCCAGTGCCCTTCGCAACTTCAGCTTCTGCAGCATCGTCGAACAGCTTTGTCAGGTCGAAGCCTTTCATTCATGGGTATAACTTCAGACCCCGATACGCGGCTAGGCTGACGAAGGAAGAAGCGTTCTCCTCGATGTTGAAGAATGACTGCATGCCTTCCTCGAAGGAGGAATAGTGGTATTCTTCGAAAAGAGTCTCCAGAAACCTCTCGAATCCGTCTAAAGTCTCCAGCTCTGTTTGGCCGGTGCACAATTCCAGTCCCACCGCGAAGTCAAAAATGTCATTGAGCCAGCGGCACAGATAATTCTTTAGATGTCTGAGGCCTGCTTTCCGAACTAGAGCGCGTATCTCTAGAACGTGTGCAACAAGCAGAGCTCGATAAGGCTCAAAGTCTGGGCCGGCTTTTTCCAACAACAGGGAGTTGACCTCTTCAGTCTTAAGGTAGTCGAGCACGGTTCTGTGAAGTGGGCCAACTCGCTCACCAAGTAATTGGGGCTCGTCTGGGTTTGTACCGATATGTAGCAGGTCTCTGCACTGAGCTACCAGCTGCTTTCTCTTGATCCTTAGCATTTCTCTTGCATTCGGGTCAATGTCTGGCCAGCTCTCCAGAGGGATTGATGCTTCGGACCTGATGCCGGTTCCGCAGGCCTCCAGATCGACAAAGAGAAATGTAAGCATTGGGAATGGCCCATTGGCGCGAGAGATCATTAGTAAGGTCCGTGCCGCCGGTTTCATGTAAACAGGCTCGATAGTATCCAGCATTCGACCAAAGAACTCTTCCAGCTGATTAGGGAGTTCGATCATGCGCCGTTTGAGAGTCGGCAAGTCGTCCTCGTTTCTCAGGCCTCGGAGTAAAGATCTGACAACGAGGAAGACCCATAGAAATACCCCTTGGGCTCTTTCAGATATTGCCTGAATCAAAGACTCCGCATCCTCTGGATTCCGACTTTTCAAATGTTGAAACTGGGAATTCTGCCCCAAAGTGTCCGAGGTGAATGTCAAAATGTCCCTCTCAGTGAGCTCATGTAGCTCAAGCTTGTATTGACTTTCTCCAAACGCGTCCGTAAAGTCGTTCCAGGGGCGGCTAGAGACACAGACCTTTATGTTCTTGAAGCTTGCCAATCTCTGAGTAAGCACTGCAAGTTCAGAATGGTCTCCGGAATACTCGTCCAGGCCGTCGAAAAAAATGCAGACGTGGACGAGCTGGGCTGGATCAAAGCCAATCCCACTAGTCAAGTTGCCGAGATTCATTAGACATGACAACAGCTCTGTCTTAGACCAACGGGGAAGTTCAAGAATATTGCTCTCCGCCCATTGCTTTGGACAGATCCTGCTGCCCAGATCTGGTCTGCTGATCAATATGTCTTCCAGCAGCGTCCTCAGAAGTCCCTCCTGAGACATTTGCAACGAGGTACCTGCGCTCCAAAAATGATGCTTGGCAATAACAAGGTTATTACCACCCCACATCTCTAGGCGCTGGCGAGTTCTCGAATCTCCAGTCAAGAACTTCATCATTGTCGACTTACCTGAACCAGCCTTCCCGCTGATCCGGTAAAGTCCGTGCTCCCTGTGCAGCCATTCATTGAAGTGGGAGGTGGAGTCCCGGAAAACCCATTCAAAAGTATTCTCGTGAGCATCCCTGATATCTGACTCCCGGTTGTGGATCTGCTCGAAATGAAGGCTTCGAACAATTCGTCTGGCCTTCTCGAAAGGCTCAAAGGTGGGCGCAAGCGACGAGATGACGCCACCTATCTCTTCCAAATCTTGGTCTTTGAAGATCCCTCGACCCTTCATGTTGTCGCACATCAATTGAAACTCTACGCGGAGCTGTCGTCGCATCATGTCCAAAGACGCGTATGGAGACTCTAAAGCTCTGTTGTCTGGAATGTTTCGTTTCCGTACGATCTCGTGTTTCAAGTCCTCAACTTGAGCTCTTAAGAAGAGTAAACATCGGCCCACTGCATGCTCGTCTCCTTCCATCAAAAGGGTACGACTCACTTTAGTTGAAGCTTCATATGGATTGTTATAGCTTCTCGTAGTCTGTAAATTCGTGTCTCAAGATCGGCGATCTCATGTTTCTTGACTAGATGTTTCGTGGAATGAACTATGCTCTTCATAAGACGGTCTACCTTGCCTTTGGGGTATCGCCCTTGCAACCGTTTAACTAGGTCGAGCAGTTGCTGACTCAAGTCAAAGCACGATCGAATCATTCTCGCCAGCTCGGCGTGTTCTTGGTTGTGTTGATCCGGTTCCATTTTCGCGAGTATCGTTCGGAGGTGATGCATGACATCGCTTAGTTCTTGAGTTTCTCGTTGAGCCTCCTCCGGGCTGCGCCAAAATACGTAGCATTTGGCGACGAACTTCGTCGCGAGTTCGACGAATTGGACGACATTGCCGGACAGAGCAAGACTCTCCATTTCGTTGGAGGCTGGAGATGGTGAGGAGTGGTAACTTCTGGCGTGCTTTGTGGCGTGGGTTTCAAAACCTGATCGCGCGAAGGTTACACGAGCCGCATGTAACTTTAGTGAGGCCTCCTTGTCACACAAGGAACGTGTTTCTAGTTGATTGGCTTTCGGCGGAATCGATTCCCCGTGATGGGGATTTGCATCGACGTCTCACAAACCTTCTGGCAGTGGTGAGCAGGTTTGATGTCAAGGGGATTGTCGATAAGTTCCATATTCAACTGTGATTTCATGCTCACTATCGGGCTCAGATCATCTTCGGTAGGCAGTATGCGTGATTAATATGCACTCCGAACGCCCATATCCCGGGACAGGGCTGATCCACACGCCTTGGGAGATGGAAGGTTTGCCAGAGTTCTATCTATTTGGCGTACACAACAATCTTCAAGCGGACTTCTATAATTCAATAATACCAAACTACCACATGTATCGGAATGTGATAGCCCTGTCACCCTGGGTAGACAATTCCTCCGCGGTGTATCGGCTGTCTTCCCCTGCCGCCATCTGCCTATCACGCTTCTTGTTGATCCCGATGTATGAGAATATGAGTATCAGGGCAGCAATGATGCCGACAGAAATGAAGCCGAGCTCAAGTCCATGTCCAAGGATGTATCGAGGCGCATCTTTCTGGCGGTAGAAATTGGACGCCATGGCCTATCAGACGTCAGTCGAGTCAAGTCAAGAAGTTTTGTGTTGTTCGGGACATCTTACACCACCCAAGTTACCAACACCGATCTGTAGAGCCATCCCAGCGCTGCGCTTGTAACTACCTGAAAGGTTGTTGGAGAGCCAGCTGATGACTCCAGGGAAGGCAGGATAGATGGCGCATGCAGCCACGAAAACGCCACCATAGACGACTTTGGGATTTGAACTTGAGATACACCTATGAAGAAACAAGTGTTAGTGCAAAATTGGTGACTTAGTTGGCAGGGCCTTACATGGAGAATCCAACGATCATCATGCATAGGAATCCGACAATGAACGGGCTTCGTTTGCCCAAGCGGTCGGAAAGATAGGCGACGACGACTGCAAGAATCGCGGCCGTGATGTAGATCGGAACTGTCATAAGCTGGGCGGTGCTTGACGTATAGTTGAGGTTTCGGATAATCGTGGGCAGAAAGAGGCTGATGCCGTAGAGGGGGCAGACAATCTGCCTTGTTAGCAAACAATCTTCCGTGACCCAGATTATATACTTACTCCCCAATAAACAAAGATATTGATCCAGATTTGCCAGTCCGTGAAAGCATCCCAGACATATTTCCACTGGAACTCGTCGGCCTCAGCAACCTGAACGCGATTGTCTGACTTTCCTTGAACCTGGCCCTGGTACTTGAGGCGGTAGACAACGAATGCTCTCTCTTCCTCGGTCAAGAACGTGGCTGTTTCGGGGAAGTCGTGCAACGCCCAGAAGGCAAACACTGCAACGATGACGGTGACTATGCCCTCGAGAATGAAGATCCACCGCCAACCCTCCAAGCCGCCGGTGCCGTCCATCTTGGAAATGGCGAAAGCGAGCAGACCGCTGAAGGCACCAGCAATCGACGCAGCGGAAAAGAACATCGCTTGTCGGAGTTGGATCTCGTGGCGGCAGTACCACATTGTCAAGTAATACTTGAGTCTGCGTCAGATTGCGAGTTCCATGAGTTGAGCTGATTCAAAACTTACAGCAACACCGGGAAATAGACCAGCCTCGGTCACACCTAAGAAGATTCGAGCGACTAGTAGCCCATGGTAGTTCCTGACAATCCCCATAAGCGTCATCACTGTGCCCCAGGCAACCATGATCGTGGGAAGCCAGATGCTCGGTCGGAGTTTCTTGAGCAATAGGTTGCTCGGGACTTCGAATGCGGCGTATGTGAAGAAAAAGACCGTGAGGCACCAATTGTACTGGTCAGATGTCATTCCAAGGTCTTCTTGCAGTCCTTCAATCTTTGCGTTGCCGATGTTCCCGCCTATGGCTGATGTCAATTAGGTCCTTGAATTCGGTGGTAATTTTGACTAACGGTCGAGGAAAGATAGGAGGTATAGCAAGGCCAACATTGGAATGAGGCGGATGTCCATCTGTATCGCCTCAAAGGTTAGTCGTGTGAATCGTCACGGCGTAAGTACTGTTGTAATGAAAGCGCTTGCCTTTCTCAAAATCTTCTTCTCATCCAAGTGCGCAAAAGACGCAAGAGTCGTTCCCTGTGCGGTCGCGATCGCATCGATGCGCCCAATCTCGTCCTTTCTCGTCAAATGTTCTGGTTGACCATTTTCCAGCTCCGACACGTCCAGCTTTTCGGAGTTGGTAAACATGCCAGCCATCTTTGCCAATCCAACGAAGGATGGCAGCAATTGGCAATCGAACTGCGATCTTGTTCCCAAGGCTTGGTGAAAGCGGTGGCCGGGGATGGGTTGACGAGGAGCTGCTGAACAAGAGATGCCAAGGACAGAAAACGGTTTGTGCAAGGGTTCGTCGTCGAACACCCCAGGCCATCATGGTTGGCTCATCTACTAGATATAAACCTTCGGATCACTGTCCGCCGGTTCGGCCCAACCCACGGGCCACCAAACAGGTTGGCTATCGTGGACATCGTCAGCGGCTGGGGTGAGCCCCATCCGCCGCCGGCTCGGCAGATCGAAACGGCCAATAAGTTTATCGGTCTCTCAAGATTCCGGGGTGATTGTGGGTGTCAAGGCCGAGGTAGGAGGCTACCCCGCGTTTCTTGATCTTATTTGAAGTAAGCTTGGGGTGAACGCGCAGCGGAATGATGGCCGCTGCAACGCGTGACCCACGTGTTCTGGTCTGGATTAGTTGGAGATTGGTTGTAGGCTGGTCGGAAACGGCACATATATGTTGAGGGATCGGCGGAGCGGAGAGGTTGGCGTGGGTTGTGGTCGTGATGTCACTTGGAGAATGCGGGGGAGGAGCCGGTGTTCGGTCCGCACCAGAACTAACATAGATCACGGGATCTAATTCCGGCTCGTCTCTGCACTGCAGAGAGACTAAATTGTCCGGCGTTACATTTGGCCTCCGATGTTTTCCTGTGAACCAAAAAAAGTCCTCATATCTAGATAATATCTAACGTTTCGTCAGCAGTGAGACTGGTTCCAGACCTTGACTCTGATATCTTGGAGGTGATTTAGGCATATCTACTCCGTAATGTAGAGCAATTTATGTTTATGGCAGACAGGAAATCGTTGATGAAACTCAAGCACGTTCAATGATGTAGTTGCGGATTTGGCACAGCGTCTGCCCAATCGACAGTACCGTTCCAATTTTCCTTGTGTCTTCCTGTATCCTTCTTCCCTTTCAAAATTTCTCTTCACAGTTTACCGCCTGTGGGCACATCGTTTTGACTGCCGTATGTCGTCTCCCTTTATATTTCGACCGATTTATGATTATGTCCCGGTTTTCCGATTATAGAAACGCCTTTGATAAGTACTATCTATGAATAGTTACTGCCTAATGTGACATAAGAGACTCTCATCTTTGCTTGTATGTCTGGTTGTTCATCAGCCATGAGTCCTCTCAAATTCCTTCAGGATCATATTGGTTTTATTTCTGCTTACCAAGCGCATTCAGCGCCGTGGAGTATGAGACTTGTTGACGTTCAAACTGTGGGTTTCCTTGCTGGCCTCCACCTCCCGTCGGATTGCAGCGGTTTGTTCCTCGTTTGGTTCTGTTGCATCGGCTGCGAACTCGGCTTCCTTGATGCGTTTATTTTGCTGAACTGCATCTTCGTTTCCGGTGTTGGCAATGGAATCAAGCATGTCGTAGAAGGCTCTGTCGTCTTGTGCCGGCATCTTGAATGAACCCGTTGAATATTGACCATTCAAATACGGAAGTATCAAAGACAAGAGCAAATGGTCAACACTCGAAATTTTGTTGAACGCAAGATTTCTTTCTGTCTAGACGGTGTAGCCTCTGAGACCGAGTCGGGATAGCCCACTGACGCAATTGGCCGAGCACATCTCAGTGACCGCGGAACGACCGGATCCGACGGCTAGGGCGGGATCTGGGTTTTATACCTGCCAAGCCCCGCTGTCTCGCAATTCACAGCTCCTCATCCTACAGATCCGGCATGCCTGTTCCTCGTCTGTCACATCATTGCCTTCACTTCCGCGACATTTAGCGACTTCAACTTCGCACGTGCTTTCGGAGCTCTCACACCTCAAGCAGGCGTTGCGGGGCCGAACACCCGTCGGCCATGGCGGATGACTCGGCCGAACAACCCATCTTGAAGCGGAAGCGAATCAGCGTGGCCTGCAACAGCTGCCGCGCGAAAAAGTCCAAGGTAAGCTCCAGGAAACCAAGTTTAGAGCTTGAAATTTTTGACTCTTGCAAGTGCG